AACACCCAGCTATTTTTTGTTGCAGTTTGGCCGGGGCTGGATTCAAACCTACCACCCTCCGTATAGGGGGCCGGTGCCTTACTCATTGAGCCACAGGAGCTGCCCCACCCTGCTAATTTTTTTTTTGTAGCTGTCATTGTTGTTTAGCAGGCCCAGGGCGGGTTCAAACCTGCCAGCCCCAGTGTATGTGGCCGGCGCCCTAACCACTGAACTACAGGCCAAGTGATCTAATTTTAGAATACAAAAGTTATATTTATCAAATAAAATCAAGTATTGAAGAAAAAAATATGTGGCCTTCTTTTTTTAGAATTTATGATGCTTTTGTTGTAGTAATTCATCTCACAGGTGTTTCTCCCCACAGGGCAGACGGAGGAGTCTGTAGGAATGGTTTTGTCATGCAGATGACTTCAGACTTGATCAATGAGAACATAGACAGACCCGTCCACATTGACATGTCATGCCTAGGTGCAGCTTCTTTAGCTGGTCTTGCTGTTGGTATGTGTCAATTTGATAAATACAAGAGCTTTCTTTACAAATTGTTTCTCAGAGACAGCATTTCTTCTTGCAAATGACAAAATTATAGAAATATCTGGAAAGTCTTAGTGTCCCTTAAGTTCCATATGCATATGCATGCTACTCACAACGTATCCTCGGACCTTCTTTGTTGGTGGGGCTGGATGCACCTCTTCTATCTGTACTTCACTCGTTCAGCCAGGAAGTGTTTGAAATGGGGATAGTTAACTTTCAGGTGCTTTGGCCTCTAGCAAGGGAAGGTCTCTGGGTAAGTGTTCTAGGTAGATCATTGTAAAGAAGAAAATTATTATTATTATTATTATTATCATTATTTTGAGACAGAGTCTCATTTTGTCACTCTCAGTAGAGTGCTGTAGCATCATAGCTCACAGCAACCTCCAGCTCTTGGGCTTAGGCAATTCTCTTGCCTCAGCCTCCTGATCAGCTGGGACCACAGGCGTTCACCACAATGCCTGGTTATTTTATTTTATTTTTTTTTCAGTTTGGCCAGGAGCTGGGTTTGAACCCGCCACCCTCAGTATATGGGGCCGGCGCCCTACCCACTGAGCCACAGGCAACACCCAAGAAGAAAGTTATTAAATGACACTTATTAAAGGGCAGTAATGTGGACTTCACTTGGGAAGACTGTCAAGACAGTCTTCTGGGGACTACTTCAATGGGATCTTGTAGTGGGTAGAGATAAAAGGCTCCATTTTAAAAACAGCAAGGAAAAGTGGAAATTAATAGCCAAGGAGCAACACTGAGGGTCAGTAGGTAGAAAATTACTGAGAGAAAACATAGGCATAAGGAGAAATTCTGGCTGAATTGACCTATCAGGATTCTTGCTTAAGGCCGGCCAGGGTGACCAGACATCATGTGGGGGATGGTGGAAGATGTAACATTCAGCAGATATTGAGGATAGGGGATTCTGGCTACTGACCCAGTAGGATTCAGACTAAAATTAAATTATGCAGAGATGAACATGGAAGTCCAAAAGTTAAGGCTTTGTTGAAAAAGAACTCAGAAGAGACTGACTAGTTTGGGCAAAGAGGGAATCTTTGTCAGTGGGTTTATCTTTGCCTTAGAAACCACTCCATTGTAAGGCCAGGAGCAGTGAGTCACTCCTGTAATCCTAGCACTCTGAGAGGCTGAGCTGGGTGGCTTGCCTGAGCTCAAGAGTTCAATACAAGCCTCAGCAAGAGTGAGACCCTGTGTCTAAAAACAGCCGGGTGTTGCAGTGGGCGCCTATAGTCCCAGCTACTTGGGAGGCTGAGGCAAGAGGACTGCTTAAACCCAAGAGGTTGAGGGTGCTGTGAGCTAAGATGCCAGGGCACTCTACCAAGGATGACAAAGTGAGACTCTATCTCAAAATAAAAAGGAAACCACTCCATTTCAGTAGAACCGCCATAGCTGACCACTTCCCTACATTAACCATCTCCTCAGGTTGACCTAATTTTCATAGACCAGACATGCAGCACATGTACTCAGTGGAAGACTGACCTCTATATATTGACCACCTCTGTAATTTGTATCTTGACTACTTGGCCTACGACACACAATATTAATTTACTCTCTGTACCTTGACCGGTTGAGTCCACTGTACACCAAGGGGTAGAAGGTGTAGGTTTTGCCCCTTACTTGTATTATTTTTTCTTCAGTGTAAATTCTTTTCTCATGTTTTATTATTACCTTATATTGGATTAGACCTCATGTCCTATTGTTTATCATATGTTGTAGAAGGTTTTTTTCAATGTGAAGGACTGGTCTGAATTGTAGAGACATCCTACAGTTACTGAAAAATTTTACAGTTAATTAAGATGTAATGGCCCAAAGAAGAGAACTCAAAGAGCTGACATTAAAGGAAAAGATCAATCTTCTACATTTTCTGGAAAGCAACAGCCAAAGAAGGCAGAATGTTTTGGCATTAGCAAGACCACAGTTAGCAACATCCAAAAATGTAAACCTGAGTACTTGGGGAGATATGGTAGGAAAGTGGAGACCTATAGCAGAAAAGGAAGAAAACTGTGCTCGATGAAGTCAATGAAGCCACGTTAAGTTGTTTCAGACAAATGAAGGCAGTTAATTATTGCCCAAATCTCCAGGTGGATGATCCGAGAAAGTTGCCAAAATATTTCCACAGGTGGCTCAGCACCCGTAGCTCAGTGAGTAGGGCACCAGTCACATACACCAAGGCTGGTGGGTTGAAGCCCTGTCCGGGCCTACTAAACAACAGTGACAACTGCAACCAAAAAATAGCCAGTTGATGTGGAGGGCACCTGTAGTCCCAGCTACTTGGGAGGCTGAGGCAAGAGAATCTCTTAAGCCCAAGAGTTTGAGGTTGCTGTGAACTGTGACGCCATGACACTCTACCAAGCACAACATAGCGAAACTGTCTCAAAAAAAAAAAAAAAAAATCCACAGGAATTTGGCAGATTTCCAAGTATCAAGGGGTTGACTGGAGAAATTTAAACTGTGACATCTCCCAAAAGGTCTCATGCGGTGAATCCAAAGCGACAGAAGTTGGGGAAGAGTTCACCAAAAAGTTCCTCAGCTTGCTAGAGGCTTCAGAGATGACATCTTTTTTTGTTTGTTTGTTTGTTTGTTTAATTTTTATTTTATTGTATTTTATTTTATTTTTGGCCGGGGCTGGGTTTGAACCTGCCACCTCCAGCATATGGGACCAGCGCCCTACCCTTTTGAACCATAGACGGTATCCTTTTTTTGGTATTTTTTTAATTCAAATTTTTGTTGAGATTAAAAATTTATTGCTACAACACCCAGTTGTAAGGAACAATACAGAAGGATCTCATGTACTGTCTTCTAGGTTTCCCTGAATGATAACATTTTGCAAAACTGTAGTATATAACATGACCAGGATATTGACCTTGATATAGTCAAATACGGAACCGTCGCATCATCACAAGTATTCCTAGTGTTGTCCCTTTATAATCATACTTATCTAATGTCCTGAAACCATGGCAACCACAAATCTTTTCTCCATTTCTGTAAGTTAGATGACAACATCATTAATGTCAACTAGTGCAAACTCTTTTTCAAGGCGATGCCTGATAGGAGTCTTATCGTGAAAAATGACAAAGGTAAGAGTGGAAAGCTTTCTGAAGAATGTTTCCCAGTTCTGCTTTGTGCCAGTTCACCTGGAGAGGAACTAAAGGCCTTGGTGACTGGTAAATTGGCAAAGTCATTCAAAAACCTAAAGCCCGGGCTTGGCGCCTGTGGCTCAAGTGGCTAAGGCACCAGCCACATACACCTAAGGTGGCGGGTTCGAATCCAGCCCAGGCCCCCCAAACAACAATGGCGGCTGCAAACAAACAGACAAAAAAAAAGTCGGGCGTTGTGGCGGGTGCCTGTGGTCCCAGCTACCTGGGAGGCTGAGGCAGGAGACTTGCTTGAGCCCAGGAGTTGGAGGTTGCTGTGAGCTGTGATGCCATGGCACTCTACCCAGGGGGACAGTTGAGGCTCTGTCTCAAAAAAAAAACAAACAAAAAACCTAAAGCCCGAAGATCTCCCCATCACTTGGATGCACATGGATGACTGGTGCCCTGTTTGAGGAGTGGGTAAGGGATATCAACCAAGAAATGACGAAGAAACGGTCTATTCTACTGACAGTAGACAACTGTCAGGACCATCACAAGTGAATCATTTCACAAACGTGACACTGAAATTTCTTTCTCCACACATGAACTCAAAAATTATATCTCTTGACCAAGGCATCATCAAAACATTTAAAATGAACTACTGAGAAACATGAACAAGAGTGAGACCTGTCTCTACTAAAAATAGAAAAACTAGCTGGACATTGTGGCATGTGCCTGTGGTCTCAGCTACTCAGGAGGCTGAGGCTGAACCCAGAAGTTTGAGGTTACTGTGAGCTACAGCAGCTGGGGTAACAGAGTGATACTCTGTCTCAAAAAAAAAAAAAAAGCACTCCCAAGCTCAGCTCTGCAATGGGTCATGAGTAAAACACCCACCTGTGGTCACCTGTGGAAGCCCTTCATGCACTGCATTGGTTAATGCTATGGATGCTGTCCTCTGGATCAGTTCTGCTTAGAATGAAGTTCAGCCAGAAATGGTACAGAAGTGTTTCAAGAAAGTTGGATTTGTTAAAACCCAAAACCATGATGCTTTGGCCCCATCAGACAGTCCATCTCCCACAGCAGAATTCAAAGGAGTAGATTTTGAAGGTTTTGATGCAATGAGTGATGAGGTGGCAACCTGTAATGAACCTGCCCTAGAAGCAGTTTTCCAAGTGATAGTGACCAAAGTACAGACCAGCATAGACATATATGAAGCGGCAGCTGATGAAGTGGAAGAAGCAAGTGAGGATGAGACAGAAGTTGCAGAGTCTCCAAAGGAAGAGGATGTCAGGCATCTGATAATGCAGTTGAAGTTATTTGCTGTGGAAAAATGCCTGGGTATGTTGAGTGGGATAGCCAGCACTGAGAGTGCTTTTTCCTCTTACATTTGTAATAAGATAAAGAAACAGACCAAGATTGATTCTTTCTTCAGAAAGAATGATTAAACCATGAGGAAACAGTAAATGTATTGATTTTGTCTGACAATGTATGATTTTGCTGTTTTGATTATGTATGATTTTGTATGATGTTCTCTAATAAAAGCTATGAAACACAGTAACGTACATATACTTATCAGTATGATAGGTCTAGTTCCTTATGTTGACCAGTTCATTACAGTCCCTTGGGTGGTCAACTTACAGAGGTTCTACTATATTTTATTTATTGAACAATGTTTGTTGAGTACCTGATACATGATAGGAAATAAAGAGGTTAAAAGCTATAACCCTCAATCCCTGCTGGGAGCAGACAGATAAGTCAGGCAATTATTAAACTTGTTTGATAAACCCAGTGAACAGCCATAGCATATTAAGCAAATGGTGTAGGCTTCCCAAGGAAGGGACATATGACTCAATTTCAAAGGAGTTAGCACACAGGCAGGTGAGGGGAAAAATAAGAGATGGTAGTTCAATAGAGAAAGCAGCTTGTGCAAAGGCAATAGCCAATTATGGGAAGTCCTGATAGGGTGTGAGCAAGAGGGGAGGTTGGAGAATTACAGAGACTCACTCTTTTAGAAAGAGTCTCACTGTATTGCCCTCACTAGAGTGTTATGGCATCATAGCTCACAGCAAACTCAGGCTCAAGTGATCCTCTTGCCTCAGCTACTCAAGTAGCTGGGATTACAGGTACCTGCCGTAATACCCAGCTATTTTTAGAAATGGGGTCTCACTCTTGCTCAGGCTGGTCTCAAAACTCTTGAGCTCAAGTAATCCACCTGCCTCGGCCTCCCAGAGTGCTAGGATTACAGGTGTCAGCCACCACACCTGGTCTTAAAACATTATTTATTTTGTTTTAATATAGTAATTATTTATCTTTGTACCACCAACTCACATAGGTTTCTGGGCAAACTTGATGGACTTATAATTTGCCTTAAAATTTGAGAATAATTTTTTTTCTTCCATAGGGTTTTGGACTGACAAGGAAGAACTAAAGAAATTGAGGCAAAGTGAAATAGTTTTCAAGCCACAGAAGAAATGTCAAGAATATGAAATGAGTATGGAAAATTGGGTCAAAGCCGTGAAACGCTCCATGAATTGGTACAAGAAGACATAACACTAAATGAAGAGATTGAAACCAAGGGTGACTGGTTTATATGATGTGCAGATGAGACACAGCTCAGGGATAACCAACATGACGATGGCAGAGATTTAAAATGAGCTTCACAACCTGAGAGAAGAAGCATTACTTAAAAAAAACACACAAATAAAAAATGATTACTTTTTTCCAAATCTTGGTAAGATTTAAGGCAGCAATACCTCAAAACTTTATTTCTTCTGTTTTGTAGCAAATTGCAAAAGGACATTAGCCATTTCCCACTGTATTTTGACAGTTCTGGGTCCTTTTCCTTTTTGTACTGGGTCAATGGAATGTAGGAGCATAGTCATTTATCCTCAGAACTGATAGTTCTGGGTCAAGCACCATTCGTATTTTGTTCCAAAATTATGTGGAAAGTATTTCTTTAATTCTGTAAAATTAAGTGGGCTATTTGAAGTCTTAAAAAGAAAGAAACACTGAGAAAATGTAGAATATTGAAATATTAATATTTTACAGTTAAAGCCATAATTTTTCAATCTTATATCCAAATACGAGCTCACTGTGTCCCTCCCAGATAAGCTTATTTGTTAGTTAGTGCTTTCCTTTATTGAGCTTAAAGCCACTGCCTTAATTTTTCCTTGTTCAACCCAAATCTGAGTACTCATTTATATGTTGAAAATCCCTGAAAAACTAATTTCAGTTAATGAACTAAAAAGGATGTTGATTTTTAAGGAACAGAAAAATACCATTTATTTTCCTTCTCAAATAACATTTCTTTCAAAAATTCTGGCTAGAGCATTACACTCTTTTTTACAAAATACAGGTTATTAGCATAAATCTTACCTTTTTGGCTGTCTTTTTCAGGTGTTGCAAAGCTTGTTTCAATGTCTTTTGTTTTTATTAAGTGCCTAATTGATAGTGCTTACTTTGAAGAAAGTGCCCTGATGTAGTGGTGACTTTGCCTTTATTAGAATATTTTACTTGTCCATGTGTTTTTTTTTTTTTTAAACAGGATCTTACTCTGTCACCTGGGCTAGAGTACAGTAGCATCATCATAGCTCAGTGCAACCTCAAACTCCTAAGCCTAGGCAGTCTTCCTCCCTTAGCCTCTGGAGTAGCTGGGAGTACAGATGCACACCACCATGCCCAGCTAATTTTTCTTTTTTTTTGAAGACACAGGGGCTCACTCTTGCTCATGCGGGTACCAAACTCCTGGCTCATGTGATCCTCCCGCCTCAGCCTCCAGAATGCTAGGATTACAGGCGCGAGCCACTGCACCCGGCCCTTGTATTTTTTTGATGCTTGTCTAGGCTCTGCATCTATCCATCTGTACAATGAATCTGTTAGAGGGCATGAGAGTGTGACTGTCCTAAGGAAGAGAGAAGAGTAGGGCCAGTTCCACATGGTCAATCTGTGGAGGAGTAAGAACGGGAGCAGCTGCGGGGTGGGCATAGAACTGTCCCAGGGCAGCTGACCTGTTTTCAGGTTATTTGCCCTTCCCTACTTTGGGGGTAATTTCCATTTGGATTTTGCAGCAATAATGAATTTATTTCCCTCTTGGTGAGGATTTTTCACATAAAGTCTTTCTGTTATAAAACTAATTTCGCACAATAATGTAACTAAAGGAGAGCCCAGTACAGAGCATTCTGTGGTTGCTATCGTATGTGTTCATTTTGGAGACTAATGAGACAGGACCTGACGATTAAATTGCACTTTTACAGATTCCATTTCAGTGAACTTCAAGTGTCTTCTTAAATTATTAAAAAAGTTTTTGACTAAGGCATTATAGCAAATATATAAAACATCAGTAACCCCACTAATTAAGATTCAGAAATATTTTTATTAAATAGAAGTCTTCTATTTACTGTAGTAAATCAAATCTCATATAGATAATACTCTTTTCATTCTTTCTCTTTTTTACATACCTTTTACAAAACTTAGTGGCCAATTATAGGCTTTCTAATCAAAATCATATGAAAATTGCTCTGTTGGGCGGCGCCTGTGGCTCACTGGGTAGGGCACTGGCCCCATATAACGAGGGTGGCAGGTTCGAAACCGCCCAAACTGCAACAAAAAAATAGCCAGGTGTTGTGGCAGGTGCCTGTAGTCCCAGCTACTCGGGAGGCTGAGGCAAGAGAATCTCCTAAGCCCAGGTATTGGAGGTTGCTGTGAGCTGTGACACCATGGCACTCTACCAAGGGTGATAAAGTGAAACTCTGTTAAAAAAAAAAAAGAAAAAGAAA